TGCAGCCTATGCCGTCAACTCATGGCAGCCCAGCTCCAGGTTGAGCTGTTGTTCAGCATCTTAGTTGTGGAGGGCAGTGTCACTGGCCCTCATATGTGGGATCTGAACCAGGGCCCTCTGTCGTCCCAAGCCAGCTCTTAACCATCGCGCCACTCGGACGGCCCAGTTTTGTATTTATATTTTTCCAGACTTTTTCTAATATATATTATCACATGTATACAACACAGAACACACATAAATATAAGGAGTTGTGGCCTTTTGTTTTTGAAAATTACTTTTTCTGAGCTTTGAAAATTACTTTGTCTGAGCTTTAATTTCTGCATCTTAATACTTTGCAAGATTCTTGTGAGGTTTAAAGAATTTATGTGCAAAGGCACAAAGTAGGTCCTTAAGTGTTTATTATTATTGACTGTAATTATCATTGAAATGACTCTAGAAGAATGTTGGGAAGATAAAAGGCAAAGAAGAGAGCTGGGATGGTAGAAATAGTTCAGCTTTCTAGAATGTCTGTATTACCTTCTCAGAGGGATTTGGCTATAGAAAAAAGTACTTTTAAGAACCACCGAAAGAGGTTATTGATGCCCTTGCTCTGCTTTTTTTGAGATTCCAAACCAAGTAAAAGAAACACAAGCACTCCTGGATCTGCTTCCTGACAGAATCGGGCATGGGACGTTTCTCAACTCCTCTGAGGGAGGGTCCCTGGACCTGGTGGACTTTGTGAGGAAACACCAGATACCGCTGGGTAAGGCGTGGGGCCTCAGGTCCTCCAGACAACCCCATCTCTTCCTTTCCCAGCCCCCAGGCTGTAACCCATATGTAGAGAAATACTTGAAATATGTAAATATCATTTAGAAAGTCAAGAATACATGGTGTGTGTGCTTTCTGAGCCTCATTTAAGTAACAAAGTTTTAGCTCCCATTAGGATATAAGCTCCATGAACTTATATCTTTTTCACAGTTACATTCCTCAGCTCCTGGAATTCAGTTTATATTGAAGGAGTAACTGTCATCTAGTATTTTGAGATGACTTTAACCAAATTAACATGTGTTATGGAAATGTACCATTTATTTAAAAATTAAGTATTCTGGAAAATTCTAAGAATATTTTTATATGTCTGTTGAGCAGTACATGCTTGTTTGTCTACATGTGTATACCTGAAGCTGTTTTTCTTTAACAGCAAATATTTATGAAGTGCCTACTCTGTTCCAGTAACTGTCCAGTTACTGTTGATGGGAATAGAGCAGTAAACAAAACAGACAAGCTTTCTTTCTCAAGGAATTTACATTCTAGCATAGGTAAGAGAGACAAGAAACAAATACACAAGATACACAAATACACAATAGTGTTAAGTTCTTTGAAGAAAATTAAACAGGCTGATATAATAATGAGATAACCACTTTTAATTGGATGGTCAAGGAAGGCCTTTCTGAAGAGGGAAAGAAGCAATTGGCTGACATTCATTTTACTGAATGATAAATTCGTTGAATTTACAAATTTACCAATTTGCAAAAACACTGGTGTGGGTATGCATTTTTAAAGTATTTATAGACTTTTCTACTTTCTTTTTCTTTTTCCTGAGGAAATTTTTTAACATCTACAAAAGCAGACAAAATGGATACCCCTTGTATAGTGATTTTACTTGGTGTAGTGACCCAGCTCTGCTCCCAGCAGAGTGAAGGGGTAGGTGGGTTTGCCATTCCCTGTGGCCCTGTGTTGAGGCTGCCTTAAAGTTAGCAGATGCTGTCCATCTAGTCTGTGGGATATTTTATTCTGCCTGGGGAGCCTGGTACAGTGTTTCAAGGCAGGAATGTGTTTATAGAAGTCATTCTTAAGATGGACTTGCAGCACGCAGTAATTGAACTGTTGTCTGAGTACAGAAGCTTGGGGGTTTTCTTTGAAGCCATGGAAAAAGTCCATTTCTGCTCTTGGCTTTTCATAATGCTGTAACCCTTAAGCAATGCAGCCATTTTCTTACCTTGATTTCAGCCTCCACTGTGAGACCTGGTTGAAGTACAGNAGAAGGTCCTTCAGGGGCCAAGGAGACTGTTAAACTTGCTAAAGAATTCTTCCTTTCTACTGACGATACAGTTCTTGGCCTTGACCTCAGTGGAGACCCTAAAGTAAGTAATTTTTCCAACATGTATTTTATTTCTAGAAGGTCGAATTTGTGAAATAAGAATTAGCTAGAAGCATCCTGCATTCCCCAGAGGTCCAATAGACTCTCTGTGTGGATGAAGTCCTATTCTGCCCTGGATGACCAGAATGTCTGTAGCAACTGTTCTCAACCAGGGTTCTGTGAAGTAATTAAGCCCCCTAAAACAAAAAAAAAAATTTTCATGTCAATATAATTACTTTCTCCATTCTTCTAAAGATGGTACACAGGTAGTTCCATTCTACATACATAGAAGAGATTAATTAATTCATTACATACAATGGCTATATAATGCTTAATTAATGCTTGATTGTGGCACTTAATTATTTCATAGAACCCAAAGTTGAGAAATGCTGGCTTAGAGCTTCTTGAATGTCAGAGCCAAGCAGGATGTCTCATCTGTGGCACCATTGGCATTTGGGGCCAAATCTGTGTTGTGGGGATTTCTGTGCATTGTAGGGTATTTAGCAGCATTCTGGCCTCTACCCACTAGATGCCAATAGCACCCTTCCAGTTGTGACACCCAAAAATGCTTCTAGACATTGCCAAATGTCCCCTGGGGGGGGCAAATTTCCCCTGGTTGAAAGCCATTGAATTAAAGTCCCATGAAACTGATTTTTATGGCTTTAACCTTGGTCTATTCTGCTGTTTCATCCATCCATTTGATAGAAGCTTTCTCTAGTACTCAGGTGGGTTCCTGAATCAGGGAAGTTCTCTTTGTTAACACAAGATACCCTTACAGAAATAAAATATGGTGACTGCTATATCTAGCTTAGCTAAATGACCTCAGGTCCACTGATAATTAATTTAAGATTCTTGAAGGCAGAGACTGTGTTTTTACTAGCTTTGTATTCCCCAAAGTGTCTAGAACATTGTAGGTGCTTTAGAAACAAAATGTGCAAATGAATCAATCTGCCATTTTTTCCTACTATTACTTTATTCCTTTGTTTATTGGAACAGAGTATCTACCGTATTTCCCCATGTATAAGACTCACCCTTTTCTGAAAAATTTGGGGTCTAAAAACTGGGTGCATCTTATACAGTGGTTGTAGATTTTTTTTACTTGCATTTCCCGCTTTTTTCGTGCTTGTTTTTTGCACTCATACAACCACTGTATAAGGCGCACCCAGTTTTTAGACCCCAAATGTTTCATAGAAGGGTGCATCTTATACATAGGGAAATACGGTAATTCCTGTTTGCCCAGAGTTCTCAGACATCTTCATTTTAACTTTTATCTTCAAGGCAGGACAAGCAAAAGATTTCTTGGAGCCACTTTTAGAAGCAAAAAAAGCAGGTCTGAAGTTGGCATTACACATTTCAGAGGTAAATAA